GATATTCCGGGAAATATATGAAATACAGCTAAGAAATATCTATCTATTTTATCAAGATCGGTTCCGATTTATATATAGCTTTATATCCTTATCTGATTTCAAATTAATTTTGCACCAAATGGGCTTCGGCATATTTAGTCCTTTGAACTTTAAATTATAATTATAATTATAGCGCGTATCATTGAATTCTCCCGCAAAAACTTTTGATTGTTATGCGGAGCTCTACTAAATTGGCAAAGTGGTGTAGGATATCATAATGTCGCCCCGCCCGACTTTAAGACTCTCTTTCTTGTTTTTTTTTTTTTTTTTTTTGTTTTTATTCCAAAAATACACACACATATACAAACTGTGTATATGTTTTGACAGAATTGTGGCACCTAAGGAAAAAATTGTATGTAGGGGTTAGATTTGTTCTACCTTTTGTAATTGTGCCACAATAGGAACCCTTTGCTAGGTAAAATTTTTCAGGATTGTCAAATAAGACCTTCTACAGGCATTCAAAGCCTTGGAGATTTCATACAGAGTTTCTTTACTGGCTGGCTTCGTTTCCAATTATTCTAATTAGAGGCTTTATAAAAATCCACTTTTTCTAACGAATAAAAAAATAAAAATCAAGAAATAAATTCATTTCAAATTCAAACCAATTTCGTTCTCTAATTACCTTCTCATTAGCGCCAAATTGCGGAAACTTCCCCGAACTCTGTTTACTCCAATAAATCTAAATAAATGATCAAGATGAAGTCATACCTTCGGACATACCCTGCTGATGATCACTAATTACCCCACATAAAAACTAAATGAAAAGGAATGAGTGTCTGTATTGACGATACGCTTGTTTGATCCGCTCAGTGATAATAGCAAGTCCCAAGCATTATCTTACAAAACATTGTGTCGCAAAAAATTGGCAACCTTTTTTCAACGTTGGCCATACAAATTATCTTCTTCTTCGTCGTCTATATCATGCAAAATAAATTTAGAAATATTTACGTAGATACATAAATGTTTCATTGTTCTAGGTTGGATTCTGAATGAGTGTATGTGTGTTATAACAAATATCATTTTAATTTTTTTATATTCATTTCTTTCAACATTTGATAACGAACAAATTGTTAAGCATGAAATCATTAAGTGAAACTTTTGTTGTCGTTGGTGTTGTTGTTGTCTTTTTTTTTTCTCAATTTCCAGAATTTATTTTTTGTGGCGAAACAAATATAGTTCTAACACTTTGAACATCTGCTGCCGTCTTAAAAACAAATAAACCACCAAACAAATTGTGGAGGATTTAAGCTTGGCTTGTAATTGATCGTAGATAGAAGAATTTTGAATGGCTCGACGGCTAAGCCAAAAACTCATTGAAATCTAGACTCAAACTTATCGCAGAGAAGTCTTGATTCACCGATGGTGTTTTCTGACGTACCACTGGCTGAAGGGGTTCTTAAACTAATGAAGCCGCTTTTAATTATTTGAAGTCCCAAGGTCATGTTTCATGCCCCATTGTAGTGGGATGTTTCTATGCTATTGTTGTTGGTTATGGTGTTGTTGTTGTTTTCTATTTCTTAGCTGGCACATGACAAGAAATATTTATTTGTTTTTTTTATTTTACGTAATAACCATGAAGTGAAATAAAACTTGTTGTAAATTGAATGGAACCACCACCACAACCGCGACCACCCGTTCGGAATGTGAAAAGTAATAATCATTAGAATAACAATTGTACAAATATTCGGTGGTTCTTTTGGTGAAACTAAAAAAGTCCATTTTAGATCTGACTAGAGAAAATATTCCTGAAAAATAACGAGGCCTTCTATAAAAACATTAAATATTGGGTAAGGGTTACTCTTGGTCCGAAGGTGTCAGATAAGGCTGGGTTTTTGGAAATTCCTACTAGAAAGGTACGAAAATACTAAAAGGTATTAAAAATAGTACCCTTTGGAAATTTGAAATGTATGATTCGCACTATAACTGTACGAAGAGAACTAAAATGTACAATATTTGAACGGTTAGAGCTAAAAACTTAGAATGGGAATCACGTTTGAGGAGTAGGGTCGATGTAAGATGGTAGTTGTGGAAGTGCGCACTCATGTATACGAAAAGTACTAAAAGGTACTACATTTGGTAGAATTTGGATTTGGTGAAACGGAGTCCTAAAATTTAAAATTAACTTTTCTGCTGGGTTGTAGGATTTCGAAATTTGTGAGTATGAATACGAAATGTACTAAATGGTACTAAATTTGGCACAATTTTCAATTGGGTTAACCAATAAAGCTGAAATGCTGAATCTATGAAATTATATTACGTTTGCATTGTAGTACTGAGATATGTGAGTAGTTTTAGAAATTCGTACTTATGTGTACTAAATGGAACTAAATTTGGTGCAATTTAAATTTTCGGAGATTCGATAGAGTTGGAATTCTGAAATCGGGAAATAGGATTTCTATTGGATGTTGTGATGTAGGTAATTATGGAAATTTGTACTCATATGTACTAAGTGGTACTGAATTTGGTACAAATTTGAGTTTGGGTGAGCCAATAGAGCTAACATCCTGAAATTTAGAAATAAGATCAATGTCGGATTGTAGGATTGGGATATGAAGGTAGTTTTGGAAATTTTTTCTTATAGGAACCAAAATGTACTAAATTTGGTACATTTTGGATTTTGGTTAAACCGATAAGACTGGTATCCTGAAATTTAAAAATAAAATTTATATTGGATTATATGATCCAGGTTGGAAATTCGTACTTATGTGTACCAAATGGTACTAAATTTAGTACAATTTAATTTTAGGAGAACCGGTTTAATTGGAATCCTGAAATTTGAAAATAATATTCTATTGGATGATGCGGATGATAGATAGTAGGTTGTTATGGAAACTTGTACGTGTACTAAGTGACACAAAATTTGGTACAATTTAAATTTGGGTGAACCAATAGAGCTGATATCCCAAAATTTGTAAATAAGATTCATGTCGGCGTGTGGGATTGGGATATGGAGGTATTTTTGAAAATTTATACTCATATTTACTTAAATTTACCATTTGGATTTGGGTAAGTCGATGAGGCTGGAATACTGAAGTTGGGAATATAGATTTCTATGGGTTAATAAGAGTATGTGTACTAAATGTTAATAAATTTAGTACAATTTATGTTGTGTACTAAATTTGTTGCAATTTAAATTTAAGTGAACCGATAGGACTCGAATCCTAAAATTGTGAAATAAAATGTCTGTTGACTATGTATTGTGCAGGTTGTTTGGAAATTCTAAGTTGTACTAAATTTGGAACAACTTAGAAATACAGTGAACCAATGCAGCTGGAATTCTAAAATTTGTAAATAAGATTCCTATGGGATTATATGATCGAGGTATTGTACTAAATTTGGTATTGAGTGAATGTATAGAGCTGGAATCCCGAAATTCGATATTGAGGTCTCTGTTGGTAACTGGGATTGATATGTGGTTGGTTGTTTCGGAAATGTGTACTATAATTGTTCGAAAAGTACTAAATTGGGTATTGAGTGGAAGAAAAGATCTGAAATCCTGAAAATCGATATGGATGTTATTGTTATATGTTATTATTAAAAGCTAAAATTCTGAAACTTGATAAATAGATAGCTGTTGGTATCTGAGGTAAAGATTTTAAGGTGGAAATGCGAACTATAGTTGGTACTAAATTTGGTATTCGGTCAAAGGTAGAGCTGAAACCGTGAAATTGTATATTGCGATGTCTGTTGGCGCCTAGGATTGAAATATGGAACGGGGTTTGAAAATGAATACTATAATTGTACGTAAAGTCCTAAATAGTACTGAATGAATGAATAGAGCTGAAATCCCGAAAATTGATATTGAGGTCTCTGATGGTATCTGGTGTTAAGAGAGAGAAAGAGAGAGGTGGTGGAGTTGTGGAGTTATAGGTACTACATGGTACCAATTTCGGATCACTGTTGGTGTCTAGAATTAAGCATAGATTTTTATACCCTAGGGTATATATCATTTGATACGGTCAAAACGTGTCTAGTCGAAATAACAGTTTTAGACTCTAGGTCTCTTTGGACCAAATTCGTTTCAGAACATTTGGAGTCGTCAATTTGGTCCAAACTTGGTTCGAGTTCGGAGAAGGGTAATATCGGTTCACTCCTTCTGTACCTCCCCCACAAAAACTCCATATTTTCAAAAAATATATTTTTTGCACAGAAAGAGAAAGGATAATCCGAGTTTGCTCCAACTTTGCAAATCCTAATATTTGCGTTAATGCTAGGTCAGGTGCGAAAATGGACAATATTGGTCCACTCCATCAAGTACCTCCCCCACAAATGGTCAAAATTTTGAATAATTACAACTCTCATAAAATGTGATGTAAGAGTCCGATTGCCTCCTAATTTAACACATCCCAATATGTTTATAAACCCGAGGTCTGGTGTTAAGATGGGCAAAATCGGTACACTCCTTCTGGTACCTCCCCCACAAAAGGTCGAAATTTTCAAAAAATATATTTTTTGCACAGAAAGAGAAAGGATAATCCAACTTTGCAAATCCTAGTATTTGCGTCAGTTTTGGGTCAGGTGCAAAAACGGGAAATATCGGTCCTCTCCATCAAGTGACTCTCCCACAAATGGTCAAAATTTTGATCAAACTTCGATACACGTCTCTTCTAGTTTTAACTCTGCTTTTATAATCTGCTGTATTCTTCCCGTAATTTCTGTGTTGCCCAGTGTCTTTGAAAAAAGCCTTTAGGGGTTATCAGAGAGCATTTCATTTGAAAAGGGATCGAAATCTGAGTTATTCTTTGTTTTGTTCTTGAATATTAACTTAAAGCCCTACCATCCTACAAGTACAACCTTTAACACTTCACGATTATAGCTCTGGTCATCCTTGAAAAAAGATCCAAAACAAATGTTTAAAAAATTTCCAGATTCCTCCTAACAACAACTTTGCCCAACTATTTCCTTGGCAACGTTTTGGGTAACATGGTAACCAAAGTATTTGTTTACATGTCAATACCATCAGTATTGAAATTCTTCGGAATTTGTGTCAATTTCTATTTGCTTGCCGAAACAACAACCTCGAAAATATTACAATCAATTTTCCACCGACTATGGTGCTTCTACATGTGAAACGTGGCGACGAGGACCTGTTTCTCTACGAGACCAGTGTCAATGAAGACACCAATTCCGTTATTCGCGACATAACAGCTATTTATAATGGACGTCTTAAAATCGAACGTATCTGTATGGAAATGGAGGAACTGGCCTCGCATGGTACTCTACTGCCCCCGGAAATGATGGGCCTTACCGATGAGCAGGTGGAGGAACTGAAACTCAAAGATGTTTGGGCAGAGAAGTGTATACCATCTGGGGGATTCGTTTTCAACAAGGACCCCATTGGACGCCGGAATGGTCAACAGCCGAAGGAGAAAATGCAAGAGGTGCTAAGGAAATCAATCGGCGATGCTCGTGCCATGATTAACAAAAAATTGGTATTGGCTAAAACACCCTTGACCCTGAAGACCATAGCGGAAGCCTTAAATATCTTAAAAGGTGCCGTGACAATTGTTTATCCCATGCAGCTGCCACCACACGACACCATACGCATGGAATTCAGCAACACAGAAGACTTGTCGGGTACCCAGGCCTCTAAGGAAGTTATTGAGCCGTCAAAGGCCCAATTATGGTTTGCTGGACGTTTGATATTAAATGACAAACAATTGAGCGATTTTCTTGGACGTCATGATAAAACCAAAGTGGTGGTTAAATTAAATAGCCATGGTGAGGGACCTCCCTCTCGGGAACCTGTCATCACGGATGAAATACGTAAACGTATGATGGCCGATGCCTATCGAAGACAGGAGGAGTTGAAGAAATTAGAATTGGACGAAGATGATCATTATTTGAATTCCAACTGGGCAGATGGAGGACATTTGAAGCGCCAGGTGCACGGCCTGGAAAATGTTCGTTTCCGTGTCGGTTGAAGGAGGAGGGAAAGGACTTGGAAATGCTTTATCACTCAGATGTTGTGTTGTAATTAAAAATTCATAATTTTTCTCTGTCAATTCTTTTTTTTTTTTGTGATTTCAAAGATAACAAAATCAAACTAATAATATTTGGAATTTATTTTGAAAATCAAAAGTTTTGTAAAAACATCTTCACTTACTGCGATGGCATACGGTGAGTACCCTTCTGCACTGTTCTTGGTCTTATATCAGCTTTATTCTATCATTCCGGATTTAGATACAATTTTCATTCAGAATTCCAACTTGACGTTCAAATATAAATTTTTAGAAAATTCAAAAAAGGGTTTTAATAAAAATTTGATGTCAGTTTGATATAATTTTTTGTAGTTTAAAAAAATTGATTAAAGAAGGAATTTTTTCAAGGATGACTAAAATCATAGTCGAAGAGTCTTAAAGAATATTTTTTCAAGGACGGCCATTTTTACGGATTTTTTAAGTATATATTTTCAAAAGTGGAATTTTTAAAGAATATTTTAGGAAATTTATTCAAAGGTCAATTTTTAAGGATTTTTTTACTTTTTGGTATGGAAGCTTGAACCAAAAATTAAAAAAAAAAAAACGCAATAGAATAGAGCTTAGAAATTCGATGGAGATCTTTGGACTTCATCCACAATCATTGGTGAAGAAAATGGATCATATCGATCCACTTTTTGAAGTAGTTCCCATGTAAGGATAAATCCGATTTCAAGTATTTTTATACCCTCCACCATACTATGGAGGGTATATTAATTTTGTCATTCCGTTTGTAACTCCTCGAAATACTCATGTCAGACGCAACAAAGTATATATATTCTTGATCAGCGTAAAATTCTAAGACGATTTAGCCATGTCCGTCTGTCTGCTGTGTGTCTGTCGGTATGTCTGTTGTAATCACGCTATCTTTCGAACAAATTGAGATAGAAGGCTAAAATTTTGCACACATGTATATTTTGCCACTAGGCAGGTTAAGTTCGTAAATGGGCCATGTAGGTCCAATTTATCATATAGCCCCCATATAACGCTACCTCCCGATATTCGGCATTTTGATGATTTTAGCGACATTATTTACCGGAATGGTTTCAAATTTGGCATTTGAAGTTCGTAATAAATACTGCAGCATAAAACAGAAAATGGGCCATGTAGGTCTACGTCTTCGTATAGCCCCCATATACCGTACCCCCCGATATTCGGTATTTTGATGATTTTAGCGACATTATTTACCGGGATTGTTTCAAATTTCGCATGTGAAGTTCGTAATGGATACTTCAGCCCATGCCAGAAAATTGTCTGTGCAGGTCCACGCCTTCGTATATCCCCCATATAACGGTACCCCTATATTCGGTATTTCATTGTAACCTGATTTTTCTTCAAGTTTCGCATTTAAATATTGTAATAACTTATGACAAAAGTTGCCTATGCAGGTCTACGTCGTCCTATAGGCATTCGGTATGTTTAAGATTTTAACAGAATTTTAAACGGATTTTTTTTTTGGAAATTGCCAAATTTGTACCAAATGGTTGTCCGTCTGTCCATGTTAATTTGTAATCACTCTACAGGTCGCAATTATGGCACGAAATTTAGAATGTAGGTGGGGTTAAGGTCAGAATAAAACCCTATCTTTTGGAGATGATCGCATAATATTTAGGGGTTGAAATGGACCAAAAACTGAAAAAAATACTGATTTTGCAGTTGCTCTACAGGTCGCAATTATAGACCAATCGACGCGCATTGCGCATGTAGCTAGAGTTTAGGGCGGGGAAGAAGCCTACCAATTTGGGTGGTCATCGGATAATATTTAGCGGGTAAAATAGACCATATCTTTTGTGTTGAAAAAATCAAAATTTTTCATTAAACCGCGAATATTTTAAATCCCGGCGAAATCAAAAGCCATGACAAGGTTACCTCTGATCTTTACATTGATGTTAACATCCAACAAATCGGATATATAGCAAAATATGTGCGATATATATGTCTATCAAAGAAGATATGCTTGAAAGATCTCTTATATGTCGAGAACGGCTGAACTGATTTCGACAGTTCTCATTAATTCAGAATGGCCTCTTGGCAGGAAAGAAAAAACGTCTAAAAAATCGCATAAAAATATCTCTCTAAAGATGAAAATATTGATTTTGTAATATTTTCTCATATTTTTTCAATTTTGTCATATTTTTGGCATATTTTCATTTTGAATTAAACATTTGGTAATATTTCTACAGCTAACAAAACTAAGTAGTTAGGATATCAGGATATCATATACCGATCCTTATGAAATTTTGCATGGGGATAAGATGAGGGTCAGAATAGAAGCCTACTCTTTTTGGAGATAATCGCCATATATTTAGGGGTTGAAATGGACAAAAAAACTGCAAACTTTTCAGCAAGTCGTAATTATCGCCCGATCGCATTTGAATGGAGGTTACCGGACATTGCAAAAGCCAAATAGTTTTGGATGGCCATCCAAAAATATTCAATGTGTGAAATAGTTTGCCAACTTTTGTAGATAAAATACGAAAATATACATTCCAGTGTCGTTTTGGAGAATTCACAAATACAGGAAAGACGCACTTCTGACTTTTTCGTTAAGGCTGATTTCGTTGAAGAATATAGTCAAATGGCTGTATCTTATATAGATGTGTTTCTGTCAAAAACCAATAATAAATGTTAATCTTTTGCCACTTCTGAGAGATTATAGGTCTTTGGGGAATATTGGTTCCAGATCTAGGAAGACCATTTACGTGCAACATCTACCAATAAATTGGAAATGAGCAAATTAGTTTAAGTTGCTATTATTCGAAAATTAGAGAACGAAACCTGATGGTTTTCTTTTATTATTTGTCAAAATATCTTGTGGAATTCTTTCGAGTATATGGCCTATATAAACTGTATCATTTATTATAGTGTTGTAGGGTATTCAACAGTCGGCCCCGCTCGACTGTAGCCTTTGCTTACTTGTTTTTACTTGTTGTACATAAATTTTGAATATAATTTTCTTAAAAATTATAGCACCCAGATATATATGGTCTGTTCCAGAACCTGCAAGAATGTACTATTTTTACCAAATTTTCGATAACATAAAGGTAAAATAGTAAAAAGTTTTATATTCCTACAGTTCTGGAACAGACCAATGGCTTATTCTGAGATTTACAGGGTGAGATAAAAAAAAACTGCAACAAAGTCAAACGCCATACTTTTTACAGTTTTTTTTTTTTTTCAATTCTATTCAATGAAAGCAAAAAATGTCGGAAATAACATCAAATTTTAGAATAAATTTAGATTTGTTCGATTTGGCCACCTTAGGCACGAAACCGTCACACGCTACCCGAATGTTTCTCTGCGGTATTTTGGCCCATACTCGGCGAAGTGCTTGCTTGAGGTGATTGACACTTTGATATTTTTTAGTGGCAACCCTGCTTTCCAAAATACTCCAGAGACAACAGTCCAACGAAGCCAAGCGAAACATCTTTTGCTCTTTTGAGTCTATTTTCTTTCTATTGCGGTGTAAGTTCTTGCACTTTTTGAATTTTAATGGCTTTACCCCGAGCTCATTTTTCCATATTTGCCGATATGTTCAGCTCATGCGCTTGCATGTGGTGATCGACACTTTGGTAATTTTTAGTGTCAATCTTGCTTCTCAAAAATCTCCTGACACAATAGTCCAACGGATTGGTATCCAGAGATTTCGGTGACCATTGTGCGTTGGAAATGAAGGAAGGAACCTCATTTTGTAAGCATTCTTGGGTGGTGCGTCCAAGGTCTGCGGCCAAAATGTTTGCGTGCCATGGCCTTAATACACCATCCAGAATATTTCCGCGATAATATTCGGCATTTATTCTGATGCCACGGTCGATTAATACGAGCGGAGATCGACCTTCGGCTGTTATGACGGCCCACACCATCACCATGGACGACGCTTGAGTTCTGGTGGCCAACCGAAGGTGCACATTTCCAGCTGACCTCTTTGGTAAGTAAACTCGATCATTGTGTTTGTTTACAAACTGCTGGACAACGAATGTTTTCTCATCGGAGAAAACCAAATTCGGCAGTTCACCATCTTCGGCCAAGCAAAGCAACTCTTTAGCTCTTTTGAGTCTATTTTCTCTCTGTTGCGGTGTAAGTTCTTGAACTTTTTGGTATTTCAATGGTTTTACCCCGAGCTCTTTTTCCAATATTTGCCGAATTAAATATTGCGATATGTTCAGATCACTAGCCATTTTTCGATCGAGTTTCGATCAAGTCGCTTCTTTACTTTTCGAACCATTTCTGTTGATGTTGCTGTTTTCTTCCGTTCACTTCCCTGACGTCGGGCTACGCTACCAGTATCACGGCAACAAGCGATGGTACGAGACATTTATTCACATTTAAATACAGGAGTGCTCTAACGATGGCCACTTGTTGTTTTCCAGCCAAATATAAAGAAATCACACTGTCACGCTTGAATTCCATCACGAATAATTTTTTTTTCTGAAAAATTCTCACCAAAATGCTTTTGTACGTTTATAAACAATTTAATGAGCTGTCACTGGAATAATTTTAACAGTTGTCGGACTAGTGCCTTACAAATGACAGCAGTCTGAAGATGGTTGAAGTTTTTTCACCTCACCCTGATTATTACAGACGGAATGACGACAGCCCTTTTGTTTTTATAGGGCTTTCGCTGATTTGTATCAATTGAATGTACACATGCATTTCTTCTCTGGTTTCCAACATTTTTTAGCGATTTAGGAATAACATATTTCTGTAGAATTTCTAATTCATTTTTGTCATGTCTCAAATGTTCTTATATTTTATTTAACCAACCATCTCTTCGAAATAACCGTTAATACAAATTTTCCTACTTAAGTGAATAAATTCAAAACTTTAATTATATATCCCTCTAAACATCTTATTAAACCCCATACACATACATAAATATATATAAGTACATATTATTATATTGTTGTTATGTCGTCCGACCCAGCTAAGTGAAGTATTTATTTACCTGTTCGCATTCACATTCACACTGCCTTTTGTACTTGACAGAGTTCAGTGACAATAATTTAGCCTCCTCTACACCTTAGATAAACACAACAATAATTGACAAATTATATGTCAGCTGAGTTGAAAGTCGATGACAAGTTCAAGTTTAAATTTATGTTTTGCGTTCCTCGTTAAAGTAGAAGATGATGAGCGCAATGC